CATGTTTCCTCTGATCCCTCACTTTGGTGTGTTGGGATCTTTCTTGAGCTATAAGACCTGCATAATTTTTCAGTTACTGTTAAACTGAATAGGATCCAAACAACACATTGAAAATTGAAGCTTTCTGCTCTTTTCACCAACTTAGAATTTCTGTAAGCCAGAGGTATAAATAACAATATGGAATCTCCACTTCATCTCTTCAGTCTGTTTTGTAGCTTGACCTCTTAAGCATTATTAGTGAAATTATTTTCATATCCTAAAGTGAAGAAATCTAATATTTGCATGCTTTTCTTTTTTATTTCAGGAGGAATTTACAGGCTATGACTTTGAGAACAGATTGCACGTCCGCATCCACGCAGCCTTAGCCTCTCTAAGGGAAGTTGTTCCACAGTGACAAACAGGAAGTTGTGTTGTCCATTCCCACAGTTTCTGCACTTTAGGATGAAGCAGAAGAAAAAGCTGTTGGGAAGACCAGTTTTTCTTCTGGAAACCACTTGTGCCAGAGACACTTTCATAGTATGGCTAAGAGTTGGTATGGCTTAGTAAAATACTGCAATTTCAACTGAAAGTAAATCAACCAAGCAGAAGGTTAAGTGACCTTGCGTATTTTAACTCCTCACTTTTTAGTTTGTTTAAACTGAGGGGAACACAGTTATTAAGTGACTCATCAGGGGAGCCTAAATAAGCACACAGCTTACTTCAACATTGGCAGATGGGATCTTTTTTTTTTAAAAAAAAAAAAAACATTTTAAAGTAGATATAAATCTAAAATATGCTAAGGGGGAGGTGTTTCTGTTTTATTGGAATACAATAAAAGTAGTTGGTACAAATGTTGAAGAAGGGAATGGGCAGAACACTTATTTTCTTGAAGGATTAGCCAAAACACAAAAGAAGGAAAACCATGTAGCCACAAAGAGCAGATCTTGCTGAATTTTAGAGTTTTACTTCAGTGAATTCATGATGAATAATTTGCCAATTTAAAACCTCCCATCCCCTTTCCATTATTTGTTGCTTCCTTCTCAACACAGCTCATACTTCTGATACAAATTCTGTCAACACTTAAGATCTTGGCTTCTGGTACATTCCAGTCAAATACTTTGCTTTACATGTAATTACAGTGAGGGCGATTTTCATTTTGCTCTTAATATTCTGACCAGAGCATTCAGATAAGTAGGCCACATACAGTAATTTTATGTGTTTTCCATTGAAGCTGCTAAACCTTTATCGCAGTGACTTTTACAGCTATTGAATCAGACAAAACAGTATGCCCACCACCCACCTCCAACCCTATTTCTGTAGTTTTACCAATGCTATGCTATCTTAAGTTTCTATATGATATTCCAAATTTGTGGCTTTGACATTTGAATTTGACTTACTGAAGACACTCTGAGAGCTGGCAATTTACATCATGATCACATATATGTATATTGTTTTTAATACTGACCATCTGTGTCCTTGTTTGTGGATTTAAAAACAAAACAAAAAACAAAAACATTTTGTCTGTAGCATCTCCCTATGTTGTATATTGAGTTAGTATCATTACCTAGAAGGTAACGAAGGTATATTTTTTTTTTAAAGAAACTTATGAGTGGAAATCTGACCAGGAAGTTAATTGAATTATGTTACTTTGCAAAGCTAAGAAAACTGGATATCTTTGAAAATAATTCTCTAAAAGCCTTATCTTTACTTTGGTCAGGTTGCCTTAAACAGTTCCTTAGCTTAAACATTTTGCTTCTTTTCCTAACTTGTTGCAGAAGACGTTGCTGTGTTGCCAAGGTTTCGTACCTTGCCCCACATCTAACCTTCACTGATTTGCTTTTGAGATTGCATCTAAAGCAAGACTGATATGGAGGAGAAAAGCAATACTGGATTTGGTAGGCCAAAGGAAATTGGTTGCACTTCTAGAGCAGTTACACTCTTCTGTTGCAATTCCTGAAGGAGAGCAGAGACTTTATTTTTCTAAAATGTAGGTATGTTGCAGACAGTACGCTGTCAACTTTTTTATTCCATTTAATCAGTAATATTGAATCAGAAAGGAGTGTTCAACCTTTTTTGAATTGGTCAATCCAAATAAGTATTGAATAGAGAACAATATATTGTGTCTGTATATACATAGCAAATTCTTAGAATCCAAATGATAATTTTCAAGAAAGGTCTTCAGTATACTTGAAATCTTATTTTGTCCTACCTTTTAATATTTTGTGTCAGAGACACGGTCCACTCTGGGTAAATAGATAGAAACATTGCATTTAATGGCAAAATTCCTTTCAACACACTGCTTAAGTATACCATGAGCCTAGGCTTATTCAGGACACAAAGCACCTGCATGTGATTGGTGTTGGGATGTCTGGGGTCTACAAACGTTGGAGGTAGCTAGCAAATTGTAGTAAACTTGATTACAAGGCCTGTTCTGCTCACTGGGCCAAGAGTGAGTCCAAAAAGACACTATATATTCCTGTAAAGGTTTAACTCTGTGCAAGTTGCAGCTTTTCTGTGGATTTAGCAAATCGTCACTGAAATGGAACCATCGGTTTCTGTAATTTTTTTTTCTCCCTCCATAGGAGAATCTCCTGCTTTGTAAATGTCACATTTGTTTTTTATGTTAGATTGTGCCTGTGATGAGAAAAATTTCAACTGTATTTTGTGCAAACTGATATGTTTTTATACTTTGGAACTCGGAGGCATGGTCTAATAGCAATAATAGAATATGCATCTTGCTAGTTAACATGTTAAGAATATCTTTACTGAGTCAGGTATTTTTTGTTGATGTTGATGCAGTTTTTATCTCAATATGACTCATTTCAAATAAATAACTAGAATTTATAGATGTCACGAAGTGGCATATTTATTGTGACGTACTGTAAATTTGTTGTTAATTTACGGAACTTGCACTTTTATATTTCTGAGTAAAATTAAAAGAAATGTGGACATGTGTTTTGTTCCCTGGCTCCTTGAATTTGTCTTTCAAATTGGTGGCCTCCTCAACAAGGTGGTGTCGAGCACTGGAAAAACTTCTGGGATGTCAAGTGACTCTGCAGGAAAGCTTTCTAGTCAGTAATTACTCAGCTTCTATTCTTCCAGTACAATTTCAGTCTCCTGGTTTAGAAAGTGAGTTACATGTGTCATGTTGAGATCAACCACAGAACAAATGAGGTTTAACATACTTCTAAGAAAACACCAATACAGGTGTGTTGTATCCCTACACTTTGGAAGAATGCTTCTAAGTTATTCTAAAGCAAACCCTTTAATTTCTCCTGTCTCTTGATTGTTTCCTATTTCAGCCATGCTTTATTCTGAAATAAAATTCCCCAAATGTGGTACTGAATTGCTTTAAAGTTTATAGCAGTCTGTTTGTTTTCCCAATAACTGATCATGTTCTTGCTTCCAAACTGCATTGTAGCTATCTGAAAGTTGAACAGTAAGTATTATAGTGGTGTAGAGCTGTATGGGGTTTTACAAGGGTGATGTTAGAATTTTTCAGTGAAGTAAAAGCAAGGCGTCACATGAGATTTGAATTCCTTTTCCAGCTATTACTAAATACTCATATTAACAGTGGTAGCAATCATTGCATGAAGAATTATGTGGTCACAAAAACATAAGATTAAAGCTAATATTAAGAAGTTATATTTTTAGCTGTCTTTGAAAGGGATTGGGCAATCACTGGCATCTGAACATGCATGAGCACGCTTGTCATTGGATCAGCAGAGGTTCTAGAGGCAGTCTGTAACATAAGTAGTAGACTACAATGAGCTTTGGGAATAAGCCTTACAGATACACTGCCTCTACTTTGTCATCCTGACAGAGCTGTCAAACAAAACTCTGCTAATGAGAGTTTTTGTAGATGTTTATACAACGTTGTCTTTCATCCTGATGTTTTGAGGTGAGTAGAAAAGGCTTCAAAAACCAGCCTTCTGCACGTCTTTTGAGATAAGATGGGATTATACAAGGATACGAGTTCCACTTCAGGCTCTCTGGAGTTAAATACTGAGCTGCTCCTATTTCACTGCATTTTTTATTTTTTTAACAAGTTTGGGTGCCCCAACTGGGACCCAGTGCAGGTCACCAGAGTAGGCGGTGTTGCTTCATGCTCCTGCTCAGAATCTTTGCCTTATCACCCAAGACTTTCACGACCTACTTTGTCCCTGTATTTTAACCAATGTTTTAGCCACAGACAGTTCTGTTCGCATTCAGTTTTCTTATTACCCCAAACTTTTTGATTGCTGCTTTTTCCAAAATATTTTCTATCTTTTGATGTGACTTCTTCCAAGACAGAGTTCCAGTGATATAGAGGAAGAAAGGGAGATTGTTAGACATGGTTGAGCAAGAAACATTTGCATAACACCTACCCCTGTTTCATTTAGATCAATGTGTTTAACATATTGGGGGAAAAAATAATTTCTAACCAGTGTGATTCATCTTCTGTAAATTGTATTTAATGAAGAGTTAATGAATAAACTGATTTCTTCTTCTCAGAAGCATGAAGCTTGTCTGGGACCATAAGTCACTGAACTTCTGTCTGTTAACTGGTCTCTAGCTCACGTAAGACTTCAACATTGTCTAGAAGCTGTCACTTCTGCATCTGGGTCAAAGCCTGGTGGGACGAGGTGACTATCTTGTTAGGCTGACAGCTCTCAGCCTGACAGGCTCTCCAGTGTTGGGCCAAAGGCCAATGTGTTTTAGTAGAGCAGCTGGTACTGTTCTTAAGATGGCTTCCAAAAATAGCATTCAAGTTCCAGTACAATGAATTAGTTCCCAGTCATTTTTTTTTTCCTCTAAGTTCCTGTGCCGTGCTCTTTCATTTCAGACAGATGTGTTTGTTAGTGACTGAAGCTTTTATAAATATTTAGACTGGATTATGCTTCTGCTTGGTGAGCTCTAATTATACTTTTCCCTGTTTTTATATCTGTATCAAAACATCTCCAAAGCTTTTATTGTGCAGTTTCACAGACCCAGAGTTCTGACAGTTTTCAGAAGGATGTCAATGGGTATGATGCATGGGAACTGTGACATCACACTCTGCTCAGCCCTGGGCAGGGGAGGCTGCAGTGGGAGCAGGTACCAGGGTGGTGTGGGGATGGCAGGGGTGCCCTGAAAACCCTTGCTTTAAGGTAATTGTCTTTTGTCATGTCATTGGGGGGGGGGGGGGGGGGGGGGGGGGGAAGAAGAAGAGTGGTGATGTTGGTGCTTTTGGTGATGTTGGTGCTTTTGGTGATGTTGGTGCTTTTGGTGATGTTGGTGCTTTTGGTGATGTTGGTGTTTTTTTCTTTTGTTGTTTGTTTTGGAAAAGGGATGTCTTTTGAATTACCATTACGGTTTCCTAGCTTGCTGGCCATTCAGACTTCCTGCTACATAAAAAGCCAGAGTGGGGGGAGTCAATGATTGGGCCCTTTAAGGGAAAGTGGCATTGGGAAGTATTGGAAAAGGGTTTGTGGTGGCCTGGGCCACTGCCATAGCGCTGCTGGAATCCCACGGGGATGTGCAGGTGCTCAAGTCAAGCATTTTCTTACTGCAGATGAGAAGCTGTGAGCCAGCCTCAGTGTGTGACAATGGAGCCTCCAGACAGTGTTCTGAGCTGCCTCAAGACTTTGCTGGAGGGTGTGAGCAGAGCTGTCATAAAACAGAAACCAGAAGACATTGCTGGGTTTTTAGCTTCCTATTTCCAAGACTTTATTGACTTCCAAAAAGGTTTGTTTGTACCAATCCTTATCTGAATAGCATAAGCTCTGCGAGTCTTATCTAACTCCAGTTTAATTTGTGCTTCTGTTTTCAGAGAATCCAGATTTGGTTTTAACAGAAGTGGTTGAAAAATTTGATCTCAAGCAGGGTAAGATAACTGTCTGTTCTTCTAGGGTATTTTCAGATGATGTTGCAACATGTGTGGGTACAAGTAGTTTTCACTTACGTGGGCTGCATCTCACCTGTACCTAGACCTGTGTAAGAGGCACATAAGCTCTTTGCAGTGGGTGAGAACATAGCCACCACTGCAGGATTAGGAATACAGTTAAGGAGCCCGTGATTTTGAAGTGGTACCAGTGCTTTCTGAGTTTTCTTTCCCCTTCCTAATAGGAAGCAACAAACTTCCTCTCAGAAAGCTTCATAAATATGCTTTTGTGCGAATGTAGAACATCTGATTGACTAGGCTGAAATCAATCTTTATTTAAATGGAAACATTTGCTAATGCAGTGCCATTATGTATTTGTTTTCTGTCTTTTATTTTTTATTATTTATTTATTTATTTATTACTTTGCAGAAACTTGGAATGAGGAACTGGAAGAGAAGACATCAAATTATAATGAGGCTTTGCTTTTTACTGAGTCCCAGAGAAAGGAATCGTGTACAGACAGAGGGGAAGATCCTCTTGAAGATCTCACTTCACGTAGCTCCAGAATAACTCTGTGCCCATCACCAGCCAGTTCCACTCCAGAAATTACACACCCCACTGGACCTGAAGGAGCTTTATCCCCTGAGGGATCTGAACTTGAGTATGTGCCTTCTGACCCTGCACAGCTCCCTGCCCCTGTGGAAGACAGCAGCGATTCTGTTTGTCTTGTGAGGGATGTGGCAACCACTGTGCAGACTCTTCAGGAAGATGTTTCTGCTGCCTCAGCAGCTGAGGCTTCTAGGTCACAACTAGGAGTGCGGCCTTGGTCTTCCATGAGTGGAGAAGTAGGACCCTCAGACACCCAGATCTTTGTCTTAACAACTGATATCAATCAGGTTTCCTCAGTCTTCCTGCAGGAAGGACTCTCACCTCTTCCACCACCACCTCCTTGTAAAGAAGAGGTTGCTCCGCCTTCCTGTAGTGCAGCTGAGGCCATCTCAACCACTGATAAACTGATAATGGATGCAGAGGTTCCTTCCTACATGCAGCAGTTTCCAGATAAAATAATCATTTCCTTTAGTGGACAAGCTCTTTCTTCTGTAAAGCTGTCATTAAATGCAGGCCAGGTCTCATTTCTGGTTGCTAATGATGCAGCGTTCCAGCCTGAGCAAACGGAAGGCATAGCACCGATGGAATCAGCTGAGCAAGCTTGTTGCTTCAGGTAAGGAAGTCTGGGTCCTTGTCATCTTCCCAGCCCTTCAGCTTCATTAAATGGAAAAGCACCTTCATTGGTGCAACACATGGCAGCGACAGCTTCTAAGAAACTGCTGTATGAATGCCATCTACTTGGCCCCAGTGCACGTGTGTTAGAGCTCTCTGCAATCTGTCAAGAAATGGGACTAGCTCTGGGCAAGATCCTGCATTCCTGTGGGTAAATACAGATAAGAGTGATGCGAAGGGGGCCCTTGACCCCTAATAGTTTTGCTCAAAACAAGGTCTATTTCTGAAACAGATACTGGCATACTGAGATATAATACATCTGCGCTGTTGCTAAAGATGCAACAGGTTTTGATTACTTTCTTGAATGATATCCTGTTCCAGCACTAATGCGAGGTTTACCACTTAAAAAAAAAATGGTGGTGGTTGCCTGTGCTGTCTTGCTGAGTCTGCTGTGTTTCTGCAGCTGGGCCAAGGGGGCCAATTGGTTTGCAGCCATGAAGAAAGCTGGTGTTCATGTTTCCCGGTGGGGCCCTCACCAGCAGCCCTTCTCTGTGCTAATGTGCCCAGCTTAACCCTTGCACAGCTGGAGAAACACTCCAAGGTGGAGCTCCCCAGTCCCAGGTCTCCTGATCTTGTGGAATCAGTCCAAGCCATGTCCCAGCACAGCTGTGAGGTATCAGCAAAGAACGGTGCAGGGGAAAAAGACAGACTGTAAATGAAAAATACTGGCTTATTAACAAATGCTTTGGGGGAAGGTTGACAGACCCAATTTCAAAAATACAAGCCAAATAGGTGAGTTCTCAAATGCTTGCTCAGCAGAACCTCTTGACCATAAGTAACCTTGCTTTTCTAGGCTGCAGCTATGGCAGCCCTGTACAAAACTGCCTTGCTATCCCCAGTCTCTTCTCTAACATCCTTGCTTCTACCAAGTGCAACTGTGCTTGATTTAGACATAAAGACTTGTAGTATGAATGGAATTAACTGTTTTGGCCGTTAGCCTTCTTGCCTTTTTATTGTTATAGCCGTGGCACCAAGTGGAGCAGGACAACCACCACCATTTTCTAATGCGTGGACCCTCTCTTGTCTAACATATTTGAAATGAGGACAAAAATCTGCCATAAGCACCTGCTTCAATTCTATGCAATGCAAGAAGAAAGAAAAAGGGAAAACGCTGCACCTTTCCTTTTCATGGGCTCTACTGTTAAATAACATCCAGGACTGTAAATCTATTTCCAGCCGTGTCTTTGCACAGCAAGATGCAGGTGCTAGGAGGCTCACTGTAGCCCCAGTCCTGGTTGCCAGCCCAGCTGATGAGAAAAAAGCTATGATAAGAAGTTCTGCAGAGAAAACTGCTGCTCTGTCATCCCTCTGGATGATGTATGGCTGCAAAAAAAAAGGCTGACAAGCCAGGGCTGAGCACACAGGTATAAACGTCCTTGCAGAAAGTTACTGTAGTGCAGCGCAGACTGTCATTACATCAGGCACCAGTCTCAAGAGTATAAATGAATAGAAAGAAGAAAAATCTGTTCTTAGGAAACAAAAATCCCTCAAAAGAAAACCTGATATTGAGTTTTCTTAATCTTCTGCAAAAGACAGGAACTAAATGCTTTGTTTTTGCTTTGTTTTTCCTAGAGTGGAATGTTCCATTCTGGATGACATGCTGAAGAACTGACACAACAGCTCTCAAAATCGCTTAACAGCTGGGCAACTTTGAGGGTAAGACTTGAAATGCTGGCCACAGTGAAGACCTGAGTGCAGAAGCGATGAGGTATCCAATTTTTGCCCTTACCATAAGAACCAGGCAAAGCACAGCCAAAAAAAAAGCATTTCTCCTCATCTGTGCAGATGTCTCCAGTACCGCTGCCCTACCTGGGTAATTCTAGTTGCACACAGAATAAAAACAGAAAGCATCTCACTGCCTTTGTAGCTGTTCCACTAGTCCACATTCAAGGCTTGAGCTGTGGGCTCACCACACACTAAAAATGAATGCTTTGCCCCAGCTCCTGGGGCCAGACTGCTCCTACTGAGAGGAAGAGACATCACTGAAGCACACTATCCAGTGTGACTGCAGCAACTTTGGGAGGCCTGCTTCGGGTCACCGCTGTCAAACACCATTCACTTTAGACTAGATGCAAGAAGTTTTGAAGCCTTTATTTAGTAGCAATTAAATTATTCAATTAACACTAACCTCCAGACAGCAGTTAAAATATTGTACAAGGAACAGCTCGTCCTCTAGAAGCTCTGTACACAGTTCAGTGTAAACTTACACTCTAAGATTGAATGCACCCCACTGAAAAGGGGTAAAGCAGCTGTGCACAGGAGGCCTCGCTGAAGTGCCTTCCTACCTCTGAGATGCACAAGGCTTCCTTCCAGGCAGCCTGCACTGTGCAGACAGTCCCACGGGGTCCCAGACTGATCCACTTCTTGCCTGTTTGCAGTGGTGCTGGGCACCAGAACTCATAGTGCATTGAACAGATTCTTTTCAAACCTGTTATTAGTGTGCAGTTGAAATCCAATCCATAGGTGTTTAAATGGCTCTTAATTCCTTAAACCATAATGCTTGTAGCAAAAAAAGGAGAGCAAAATTCAAAACACACTGCACAAAATATTGAATAAATACCTCTGAGTAACGTCACCAGCTTAAACAACTGCATGAAGGCTCCAGAGATGGGTGCGTTTCTGGGAGCTCTGACCAGAGCTCAGGATTGAAGGGAGTTACTTCAGTAAAAGAAAAGTCGCTTTATGAAAAATTGCCTCTGTACAAAAGTGACACACCCTTCTTCGCTTTAAGAACAGAATATTGCAATGACTTTATGTGCTTTTAGACATTCCCATGTCATAATAAATAAAAACAGTTTTGCTTGTGCCAATGTTATCTATGAAAGAAGGTATTCACAGAACAGCCAAGGTGTTCCGTTCCTCATACACCACAACCTAATATAGGTGTATTCAGCAAACCAGGCAGCTGTACATCATGGTGACTTGCTGACTTTGTCCACTGCCAGCCAGAAAAGTTCATCCCCTACCTAAGGGACCGCAGTCACGTACCGCCAGATTTACTGCGGAGATGCGTAATATTCTGTTGGATAACATGTTAGTTCTTTCAGGAGGTAAGTAAAATGAGGGAAAACATTAAAACAGATTAAGACTTATTTGTATCAGCCACAGGCTTCTTATTGCATTTTAATAAATATCAGGCAAATTAAAGTAGTTTCTGTCCCAGTAGTTGCCAGAATAGAGCCAGTCCTGTGTGCCGGTGTGGGGATTGGGCCCTTGATGGAACCATCTGTAAGGAAACACGCAGCATGTTACCAAAGTTATCCATACATTGCTGTAGTTCAGAACTGCTTTGCTGCATCTGTAGCTGTTGCAGCTGTAGCTGTTGTTCAAAGTAATTACCATGAATGCCAGAGTCCTCTTAGTTTAAAATCTTAAGTATATTTTAAGTTGTTTTCAGCAGCCAGATTTCCCCATTCCAGCAGCACTTCAGTGGCTCCTAGGTGACATTACTGACATCAGCATTTTGTCCATTTGGAGCAGTCAAGACTCTCACAGAGAAAGGACAGCTACAGTTACATTTCAAAGCAGTTGTGAACCATCATTTTGGCATGCATAAATAATAACAGTATCTTCAAGACAGTGAACACCACAAGCACTGCAGTCCTGAAAACAGAAAAACACTATTTCCCCAGTACCTAGATTTTCCCCCAGTGTCTCAAAGCCTTGTTTTGCAACATGCCAACTCAGAACAAGTGCCTTCACTACCGTCAGTGTAGGTGAAACATCACCCCCAGGCTGCAGGAAAAGTCGTGGTTTACTACAGCATGACAGTGTTGCATCCACTGTTAGTGCTGAGGGACCGACATGAATGCCCAGAGAGCTGATCCAGCTGCACCAAGTTATGTGCCAGCTTCTACGCTGGCTGCTGATTGACACACTGGACTCTTGCACACGCTGGCTTCTTCCCCTCCTCTCTTCTCCTTCCTTATAGGAAAGCTGTGCACACACACACAGCACAGTCTGGGGAATTGAGGGCTGTCAACAAAGCTGGGTGTCACCTCACAAGGCCAGACTGCAGTACCCCCAGTGGGGAGGATAGCTGTCAAAGCACCATAGCACAGAAGGTTGTCCTCCTTCCTCCTCACCCATGCCTGTCTCTGGCAGTTACATCATACAGTGTAACTGAGCACAGCCTGCTGTTTGAGTCTGGCTCAATCTTTCATCTCGCAACGGCAGACCCCAGAGGACAAGCAGTAGTTTAAGTTTTTGCTGTGTTTTGCCATGCTGTGTTGGCATCACCAGGCAGCTTGAGAGCAGCTCTTGTGGTTAATATATGCTCCAGTGCTTCCTTTCTGCACTTCAGTGGCCACAAAGGCCGGTTCTCGCTTCGTATGCCTCACTGTAGCAAACACACTCACTGATGTAAATCATGCATGCGCATTTTTTAACTCACTCTTCCTTTCTAGGTTTTCTGCTTGTCAGAGCAGAAATGAAAATACATTAGGATCAAATAAGGGCAATGAAACTATGAAGGGTCTGGAGCACAAGCCTTAAGGGATGGTTCAGACGGGAGAAGAAAAGGCTCAGGGGAGACCTTAATGCTCTCTACAATTGCCTGAAAGGGGGTTGTGATGAAATGGGGGGTCGGTCTCTTTTCCCAGGTAACAGCAATAGGACAAGAAGGGCTGGACAAGAGGGACTGGCCTCAAGTTGTTTTGAGGGAGATTCAGGTTGGATATTAGGAGAAATTTCTTCTCAGAAAGTAGTGATGCAGTGGCACAGGCTGCCCACAGAGGTGGTGGAGTCACCGTCCCTGGAGGTGTTCAAGAACCATATGGATGTGGCACTTGGGACACAGATTAGCAGGCACAGTGCGAAGGGGCTGATGGTTGGACTAGGTGATCTTAGCAGTCTTTTTCAACCTTAATGATCCTGTGATTACAATCCACTGACTTTAAAGAGGAAAAGCACAAAGGCAACCAGCATTACAATGCCATACTACAGAGCAGGGTGGCCAGTAAGAGGCTCTGGCTAGATCCAAAAGATCTGAGCTGCACATTGGACGTAATTCCTCATGTAATGCCATCACAGTGGTAAACTGAACAGTCAAACACCTGCATGGCACTTCTGCCCTGATTAAACTAACAGAAATCAGTGAAAGTTCCTTACCCCTTGTGCCACACGTCATTTACTACCATGGAACCTTTGCTTGGGATGTGTCAGCTGCTCTGAAGTAAGTGGTGTGTGTGCAGGCCCAGTATGCTTCCCAGGGGAGCAGCAGCTTATTCCAGAGTATAAGCCTAACATTTGCTGAGGTTCAGTGCTACAAGTAATGACCTCACCCTGCAGCTTAGGGAGCTGTACGCCCAGGACCTCACTGCTCTGCCTTCAGCACAGGAATGGATCAGGACAGTGTCCTCTAGTGGGAAACTGCAGCTGTTTACATCAGTTTCCATCACACTTCAGGTTAAGACCTGCAGGCTGACCCTCTGGGAGCAGCAGGAGAGTTGTCTTCCAACAAAATAGCTTTTTTCTCCAAGCTCAACTGTATTTAAATGAAAAGGAGCTTTTCCTACATAATTTATGTTCATCTTTTGAAAGCAATCACGCTTGGCATTCCTACTAAAAAGATCAGACTCAAGGAAGGTTCTGCCAAAGCATTGGAGACACACGGGAAAATAAGGAGTTCTTAAACGATACCAGGAATCTGAAGTCCATGCACAGACAACTTGCACAGTGCTGGCTCTACAGCAACTGGAGAACCTCGTGAATGGTTCTGCACTGACTACAGACCCTGAGCACCATTGCTCTGCACTGTACTCTGGAAATTCCTTTAGTTCTTATACCAAGCTGAAGTGCTCAGAGCTTTACCTTAGGGTAGATACTTCAGATAGCTGGAGGAACAGTGTAGTTATCCCTACCACTTGGTGAGAGCCAGAACCAAAGCACACTTCCCTCAATTCAGGGAAGGAAGAGGGAGGTGCGAGGCTGTTCTGCATGTAACACATCTAATCAGAAGCATTACAAAAAATGTTATTTTGCACCAGTTTCAGGACAAACAAACCCAAACACTGCAGTAAAGCAGGCAGAGGAAAAACAGTCAGACATGACCAAACCTGGGACTCTGGGATGATGGGTGACTTCATTTGCAAAAAAAAGATAAGTGATTTATAGTTACAAACAGACATTTTGAAGGCATTTAATTCATGATGTTTGGGTGCATTAGCAATTAATAAGTAGGGAAGAGATGAAGTTTGCTTACTTCTAGAAAGTTTAGCCCTACTTTTTTTTTTTTCCTCCTGTGAAGAGGCCACCAATCTCTTGTTATAAATTTGAATAGCCTTTGCCTGGTCAAATGAGATTCATTTGATTGTTGTTTTTAAGAATTCTATTGAGCCAGCTGTGCCTGACAGTTCCCAGTTGACTTCCCTTTTAAGAAAAACAACTGGCAGCTGCCTTGTATGCTAACTTTTCCCTTAACTTCTCTAACTTTCATAGTTAGTAACAGTCTTGGAAAGGAAGAAATGACATGGAGAATGAGCTGATGGAGCCATTTCACCATCTTTTAAAAAAAAAAATAACCAAAACACCTGTATGCTGCAGGAGTACAGTGTTGCCAGCACCCAGCAACTGACCTGAGAAGTTGTGGGCAATATGCCATCAAGTTCACTGGAGGAATTGTTTATTCCTTGCTTTGGTCAAGCATACATATTTGAGGCATTACACATTAACTGCTACCAACAACTGTCCCTACAAACAGCCGTGAGCAGCAGCATCTTTTTCCCACTTAGAAAAGACAACATGCTTTAACACTTAGCATATCAACACAGGTGCACAAGCAGCGAGGGGGAAGGAAGCAAGACATCTGATTCTGGGTGCTGCAGCCTGCACAGACCCAGTCTGTATATATCACAG